AGGGTAGAGTGTGAGACGCTCAGAGTTGGTGTGGGCATGTTGGACCAAATGTCCTGTTTCCACACTGTAGGGATTGTATTCTGCAAACAGGTGAGATCCTTAATGAGTACATCAGTATTCACCAAAGAGATGACGTGAGGGATGCTGAGATTAGGGAAAGGTGTATGAATATAATGAAGGTCAACACAATGAAGGAGGAAGTGGTGGGTGTCTTGATATGTATTAAAGTACAGGTTAAGGACCAGATAGGATCTATCCCAAGATATTGTGGGAGGCAAGGGAGGAAATAGCTGGAAGTCTTAACAGATATATGTGCATCCTCTTTGGCCTCAGGCAAGGTTCCAGAGAACTGGATAATGGCCAATGTTGTTCCCTTGTTTAAGAAGGGAAACAGGGATAATCCAGATAATTACAACCTGGTGAGCTGGTGAGGAAGCTGTTGGAGAAGCTACTGAGAAACAGAATTAATTCACATTTGGAAGTCTTTATTCTTTATTCATCCAAGTGGTGACAGCGTCATTGGCCAGACAGAATTTATTGTCCATCCGTAATTGCCCAGAGGGCAGTTAAGAGTCAACCACATTGTTGTGGGTCTGGAGTCACATGTAGGCCAGAGCAGGTAAGGATGGCAATTTCCTTTCCTGGAGGACATTAGCGAACCAGATAGGAAGGGATTTGTTCGTGAAAGGCAGCATGGGTTTGTGCAGGGAAGGTCATATCTCAGCAACTCGATGGGGTTTTTTGAAGGGCTGACAAGAATGATTGATGACAGAAGGGCAGTGGATGTTGTCTACATGGACTTTAAGGCATTTGAAAAGGTCCCTCACAGCAGGCTGGTGCAAAAGGAAGAGTCTCATAGGATCCTGGGTGAGCTGGCTAGATGGATACTAAACTGGCTTGGTCATAGAAGACAGAATAGCAGAAGAAACGTGCTTTCCGGAATGGAGATCAGTAACTAGTGGTGTTATCTGAAGGAAAGTATAGGTGACTTCATCAGTAAGTTTGCAGATGACACCAAAATTGGCAGAGTTGCAGATAGTGAGGAGGACTGTCAAAGGACACAGTGGGATATAGACAGATTGCAGATTGGGGCACAGAAATGGCAGATGGAGTTTAATCCAGACAAATGCAAGATCAAATTCAGGTGCGGATTATACAATGAATGGCAGAAACCTTAGGAGCACTGACATCTAGAAATCTGGGAGTACAGGTTCACAGATCCCTACAAGTGGCAATGTAGGTGGATAAGGTGGTCAAAGCGGCCACACTTGCCTTCATCAGCCAGGGCATGGAATATAAACGTTAGCAAGTTACATTACAGCTGCTTAAAACTTCAGTTTGGCCAAATTTGAAATATTGCGTGCATTTCTGGTTGCCACACTACCAAAAGGACATGGATGTTTTGGAGAGGGTGCAAAGGAGGTTTACCAGGATATTGCCTGGTCTGGAGGGTTTTTGTTATGAGGACAGGTTGGATAAACTCTGACTGTTTTCACTGAAAAGACGGAGACGACCTGATAGAAGTCTACAAAATTATAAGAAGCATTGACAGGGTGGATAGTCAGAGGCCTTTTCCCTGGATGCAAAGGTCAACTACAAGAGGACACAGGTTCAAGGTGAGGGGGGATAATTCTGGGGAGTACTGCAGGGAAAATCTTTCAGAGGGTAATGGGTGCTTGGGAAGCACTGGAAGCAGCCATGTTAGCAATGTTTTAGACGTACCTTGATTGACACATGAATGAGGCGCGAACAGGGGAATAGAAACCACATATAGGCAAGAAATTCAAGTCTAAAGAAGGATTAGGAATTGGTGCAGGCTTGGTGGGCTGAAGGGCCTGTTCCTGTGCTGTACTGTATTGGAGTCATATGTAGGCCAGATCAGGCAAGGGCAGCAGTTATCCTTCCCCAAATGACATTAAATGACCTAGATGAATTTTTACAATGGTTGATAATTTCACATTCACTGAGATTAGCTTTGAATTCTAGTGATTTTTTTCATGATTATCCTATCATACGTTCCAAATATCAACTCAGGTTTGGTCCTCAGAAGTAGGAACGCCTTTTCCATCCACCTTTCATGTGGGACTAGTGGTAAGTATCATAAGGTGGAAACATTACCATCTGCAGATTCCCCTCCAAGCTTCTCACCATCCTGACTTGGAAATATATCACTACTCCTTGCTCATTGTGGTATTGAGGGTGTGTCAGGGAGAAATCTTATAAATCATGTTTCTAATCCAGCGCAGTGCTCACCGCACAAAATCTGTGGTATCTGCATAGGTCAAGCAACAGTGAGCTGTTTCAACAATTGAGATTGAAGTATCTTCATTGAGGTATGTAAACTACAAAACTGAAAGTGGAAAAAAAAGGGAATAAAAATCACATTCAACTCATTGCATGTAAAACAGAATTATTGGGACATGCACTTGGGATTAAAAGAGAAAAATAGAAAATTTACGAAATAATTTCTTAATAATTGTATAATGTTGACTTTTGCCTGAGGAAATGAGACTCCACGCTTGAGAGATAACTTTAAGTTGACAGAAGTTGTTTAGCCGTAGGCAATTGTTATTGCAGAGTTAGAACTCTCAATGCTGAATGCACAGACCTCACACATTTTCCATCCACCTTTAATGTGGAACCAGTGGTAAGTATCATAAAATGGAAACACTACCACCTGCAGATTTCCCTCCAAGCTGCTCACCATCCTTACTTAGAAATATTTCACTACTCCTTCAGTGTTGCTAGATCAAATTCCTGGAAATTGCTCCTTAATCGTACATGGGTGCACCTACACCAAACAAACAGACTGCAGCAATTTAATAAACCAGCTCACGACCACCTTCTAACATCTAATTTGGTATAGGCAATTACAGCTGGCCCAGCCAGCAATGTTCCATCCTGAGTGAATGAAAGAAAGCTTATACCAATGCTACGGTTCTAATGTCAAAGACTGTAACAGGGCAACCTCAGAAGGCATTTGGTCTCTATCAAAAGTTTCATTATTTTGCATTTAAGTGTTCTTGCACAGATGCTGATCATCAGATGTACCTTTAGTAGCCGTGAACATTGATTGCCTGGTTCTTATTAAAGCAAATTCTCAATCGCTGAATGGCAAAGACAACTCCCAAATGTAAAGGACACAAGTCTGCTTAAAGAAACTGTCACATTAACACTCTGCAACTTACAAGTATTTTAAATTTAAATTCTTTCTTGACAGGAAGATCGCTAACGTGATACCCCTGTTTAAAAAGGGAGTAAGGCAAAAGATGGAAAATTACAGGCCAATTAGCCTAACCTTGGTCGTGGGTAAGATTTTGGAGTCCATTGTAAAGGATGAGATTTCTGAATATTTGGAAGTGTATGGTAAAATAGGGCAAAGTCAGCATAGTTTCATCAAGGGGAGGTCATGCCTGACAAATCTGCTAGAATTCTTTGAGGAAGTAACGAGCAGGGTAGACCAAGGAGTGCCAATGGATGTCATCTACCTGGTCTTCAAGAAGGCCTTTGATAAGGTGCCACACAGGAGGCTGCTGAGTAAGATAAGGGTCCATGGTGTTAGAGGCAAGGTGTTAGCATGGATAGAAGATTGGCTGTCTGGCAGAAAGCAGAGGGTGGGGATAAAGGGGTCTTTCTCAGGATGACAGCCGGTGACAAGTGGTATTCCGCAAGGGTCAGTGTTGCGACCACAACTTTTTACTTTATACATTAATGATCTAGATGAAGGAACTGTGGGCATTCTGGCTAAGTTTGCAGACAATACAAAGACAGGTGGAGGAGCAGGTAGTATTGAGGAGGTAGGGAAGCTGCAGAAGGATTTGGACAGGTCAGGAGAGTGGGCAAAGAAGTGGCGGATGGAGTACAACACGGGAAAGTGGGAGGTCATGCACTTTGGTAAGAAGAATAAAAGCATGGACTATTTTCTAAATGGGGAGAAAATTCAAAAGGCTGAAGTGCAAAGAGACTTGGGAGTTCTAGTCCAGGATTCTCTCATGGTAAACTTGTAGGTTGAGTCAGTAGTCAGGAAGGCAAATGCAGTGTTGGCATTTATTTTGAGATGACTTGAATATAAAAGCAGGGATTACTAATGAGGCTTTATAAGGCTCTGGTCAGGTGACATTTGGAGTATTGCGTGCAGTTTTGGGCCCCATATCTCAGGAAGGATGTACTGGCCCTGGAGCGGGTTCAAAGGAGGTTCACAAGAATGGTCCCAGGAATGTAAAACTTAACATATGAGGAACATTTGAGGACTCTGGGACTATACTCATTGGAGTTTAGAAGGATGAGGGGGGTTCTAATTGAAACTTACAGAATACTGAATGGCCTGGACAGACTGGATGTTGGGAAAATGCTTTCATTTGTAGGACAGACTAGGACCTGAGGGCACAGCCTTACAGTAAAGGGAAGACCTATTAGAACAGAGATAAGGAAAAACTTCTTCAGCCAGGGAGTGGTGAATCTATGGAATTCACTGCCACAGAAGGCTGTGGAGGCCAGGTCATTGAGTACATTTAAGACTGAGATAGATAGGTTCTTCATTATCAAGGGGATCAAGGGTTATGGGGAGAAAGCAGGAGAATGGGGTTGAGGAACTTATCAGCCATGATTAAATGGCGGAGCAGAGTCGATGGGCCAAATGGCCTAATTTCTGCTCCTATGTCTTATGGTCTTCTGTGTTCTGAAGTCTCCACAACATTAAATATCAGAAAGTTACAGAAAATCAAGTGCAAAAATGTGAATAGACGTTTAAACCTTCAAAATTTTGCAGTTAACAAGTTCCCATAAGCTTCTAACATATTAACAATTAATAACTACGTCATCCTAATTACACGTCAGCAATAATTATAAGAATGCACTGCCATCTTTGCGAGGGAAAACACAGGTTCAACACTGGAGAACCAACACTAACAGGGTCACGTCATCAGTACTCCTAGAGCGGAACTTGTCAAGAAAGGAGAATTTAAACCTCTCTATACTTCCAAAGATAAAGCCATTCTTACCTAAAGCATCAATATGGTTATTTGGAGGCACTTCAGTTTCACTCCTGCTGAGAGAAACTCTCTGATGTCTCTCGTCTCGAATCCACCTGCTCATCTCCTGAACCGTTTCAACAGCAGTTGGTTTGTTTTCTTTGGCACTTGAAGTTCCCATCGCTAACTTGCGTTTGGCTTTAGCTTCTATGCTGCTTTGTAGACACTTTTCATTGTCTGAAGACATTGTTGAGAGGTCTATTTGTTGTCTTGTGGCTTGGTTTTGCAGCAGCACTGGGGATGGATGCTTGACATCATAGGATTTGTTAAGCTCAATGGATGAACCTTGTTTAGCATTTTCCATCAAGCTGCTAGTCTTTTGGCCACTGAGATTCAGTTCAATCTGGGGTTCCAATGACTCAATAATTTCCTGTTTATTTACAAGTAATGGAGATGACCTTTCCAAATCATGATCTTTTTGAATCAAGCTGCTCAATGGCGCCTGAACAGCATTACCAACCGTTTTTACTTCAGATACTCCGGAAGGTTTAGCACACAAATGTAAACATCCTTTTCTAGGCATCTCATCAACACTTCCCAAGCACGTTGGAACATCCTGTACTTTCCCAGCATTTTGTTCTGTTTCTTCTTGATTGACTGCTATTAAAGCTTCATTCAGAACTGCTCTCTTTGCATCAAGATTATTAATATTTATTTTACCTAGAGGTATCCCAGATAATCCTTTAAATTTTTCTTTCGGACTTAGCTCATAAGCATTTACTGGATTATTAATAACAATATTGGTTGATGTCCTGGGACGTCTTTGGTGCATTTTCGGACTGCGACTTGGTTCAGGATTGGGTAGTTTGGCATAAGACCCCATTAAGCTTTTAAGCAAGCTACTGTCATGTTCACTTTCTGAGCAGTTTATCCAATCCTCATCTGAATCAGATTCTCTAGATGAGCCTTTTGTTGACTTTTCCGTTAAGTTTACTTTTGATAAACTGCCTAAAACTGAAGCCAATGTGCTACCTGTTGTTTTATTAAATAATTCAGAGCTTTCATTTGTTGCAGAGGCATCCTGTGGCTGTGAAGTTGACCTTGCACTGCTTGTCTCAAGAATGGGACTCCAAGTTTTGGTAGATATTTTGTTTCTTTCTTTTTCCCAGTCACTGATTTTAACACCTTCATTTTCTTTATCGGAATGACTTTCACTTGTACTTTCCTTGGAAACATTTTTCCCACTGCGTCGATTTTGTTCTCTCTCTACATATTCTCTTGATTTTTTTAACAGGTTCTGAAGACTCATTGCATAATGATCAGGAGATTCCTTTGTGGGTAACAGGACATCAGTTTTGGATTCCTCTTTCTTAGGACTCATGCATAGCGACACTATGTTATTGGATTGGCCATTACATGTCAATTTAGGAAGGTCACTTAGTTGAGAAGAATAAACGCACTTCTCAGAATCTCTGGCGGCGTTTATTTCCGTTAATTTCAATGATGTCGCAGTTGATACAGTGGTATCTTCAGGTTTGTCAGAACAGTTTGAAGTAACAGAAGACTGGTCAGTGTGCTGAACTGTACTGAAACAACTTGTTGGATCAATCTTTGTTGGCGATTGACTTCCAGGGTCTTTGACACATTCAGTGGCACTTGGCACATGGCATACCTTTAGGTAAAACAGTTAATAATTAGGATCAACAATGCAAGCAGGGAAAATTCTTTGCAACTTGTTCTTCCCACTTATAAACAATGCGAAATGTACCTGGAACTTGGAACATATTTTATAATGCCACTTTCCCAACACATTATAGAGCAGTTCACAACAGACTGGTTTTGAAAAAACTCGGTGTGTTTTAAACTTCAGAGAAAATTAACATCTTAGTCTTTCAAAAAATGTGGGCATTTATAATAATCATATGGAGTCTGAAAGCATCATCTTCAGTAAAACAGAGGCTGCAGGAGGTCCACTGGAAATGAAGCAGAAAGTTTAATGTTTGTTGGTAACTACTGGTGGCATAACCACACAAAATCGCGTCACAATGTTTTGCTTTTGGTATCCAAGTACACACTTGTAAACAAAATAAGACAAGCCTTCTAAATTAGTTTAGATGCAGAGGTCATTACACTTCATGAATTACCAACTAACCACAGGTGTAAAATTGGACGAAAAGAAAGAAAATTATTTACTCAAACTATTTGTTACTGTAAAACAGCCAAGTACCCAGAATGCAAAAGTAAATTTAATTATTATTCAATGCATTAAGCCATCTCCCAAAAAGAATTTCTTCATAATTCTATTTTTAAAAAATCATGAAAATTATTTTTAACTCAAACATGTTTGGGCTGAAATTAATCCATTTTGAAGATGAAAAACCATCATCTAACTTGGGCAGGTAGGCATGAAATTTGGGACATGGTTAGATTGGGTTTATGCATTTTTTTAGAATCACAAAAATATCAACAGAACTGAGGGTGTGCACTTGCATTCATGCTCTTTCATACACATCTCACAAAAATGATTGGCAGAATAACACTGTCCACTGGAGACAGAATACAATAGTGTTTAGATATTCTATAACACAAGAAATTCAGAAACCAGAACAAATAATCTAACAGAATGCATTATTACGGCATTTTGGAATTTGAAAATAATTGGAAACAAATTTGGTAAAAAAGTGAAGAAACTGTTGGGTTTTTGCAAAAACCAAAGTGGCTCACGAGTATTGTTTAGAGAAGAGAATGTGCTATCCTTATCCAATCTTGACGAAGACTAAAATCCCACACCAAATAGTGGCCTCTTAACTAGCCTCTAAAGTGCCCTAACCATCCACTCAGTTGCTCCATACAAATATCGAACATATCACCCATCTGCAACCAGACAACAAATCATGACATTAAGACGCCATGAGCCTCACTGAGTCTTCTTACCCAACATCAGAGACTTGTGGCATCTTACAAGAGTTGACCCATGGACTAATCAAGTTACACCATAACAAACTCAAAATCTATATAGCTTGGGATGATAGAGGAATCAGCAATGTCCCAGATACAGCCACCAGATGTGAGGGGAAAAAATGGAATAAAATCAGGTCAGAATGGCACTGGGAGCCCGCTACTTCAAAACAACAACACCACAATCTGAAACTCAGAACTGGACCTTTCTCTTCATAGACAATGTGGGTTCTGGCATGACAAATTGCCCAAACTCAGCCCAACCCCAATTATCTTCAATCAGCTTCCATTCCACTATACAATCAGAACAGGGCTGCTCAATAATAATTGCATTGTTCATCACAATTGGTAATTCTTTTGATAATGAAGAGTGTATGTCCTCTTGCATTCAGACTTGGACTTGTATTGATTAGGTACCAGGTAAAATTTACGATAAAGATTATGCCTGGCAAAGAAACTTCTTAGTAAGTGGACTTAACGATCGCCTCTTGAAATTCAATGTCAAACCCGTCAGTTTTCCCCACCAACCAGTTCCTGGACATCATCAAACTTTCGCTCGACCAAACAAAAATGTCATCCCTGCTGGAATAGGTCACAGACTAAGTATTCAGACAGCAGGTAACTCATTTTTTCATTCCCCAAAAATCTCTCCATTGTCGAAAAAGGCACAGATTCATGGTATGATAGAATAAGAACATAAGAAATAAAGTACTAAGCATTCAGCCCTCGAGCCTGTTCAGCTATTCAATATCAATATTAGCACTGTTGACATTCTACCTCGAGTCCGCCTTCCTGTACCATTCCAAATTCCTTTTTCATCCAAACATTTGTCTACTTGGCTTAGTCTTGACTATGTTCAATAACTGGTCTCTCAGGTAGAGAATTTTGGAACTTCACCCAATAAGACTTGTGGAAGGTATTTCTCAGCTGAATCCTAAATGGCCAAACCATATTTTGAGACTAACCCCCTACTGCAAGACAATCCGCTATGGACAGGATCCATCTAGCATCTACCCTTGGAGAATGTTCTATGTTCCAATGAGATTATCTCTCATTCTTCCAAATTTCACAGAATATAGAGATAACAAGGTGTAGAGCTGGATGAACACAGTAGGCCAAGCAGCATCAGAGGAGCAGGAAGGCTGACGTTTCAGGCCTAGACCCTTCTCCAGAAAATGAAGAATATAGCCCCAGGTTACTCATTTTCTCATCTTAGATCAATCCCTGCAGTCCAGAATTAGGCAAGTTAATCTTCATAGCACTTCTCTCAAGGCTAGTCCATCTTTCCTATTCCACAAATGTCCCCATCCTCAACGATGGGGTAGCCCAGCACATCAGTGCAAAAGATAAAAAGATAAAATTACTGCTTTTGCAGTAATTTTCAGCCAGAAGCATTGAGTGGATAATCCATCTCAGCCGCCACCAGTGGTCCCCAGCATTATCGATGCCAGTCTCCAGCCAATTCAATTCACTCTATGTGATATCAAGAAATAGTTGGAGACACTGGATCTGCACACGCTACGGGCCCTGACAACATTCCAGCAATAGGACTGAAGATGTGCATTCCAGAACTCGCCGCTCCCCTAGTCAAGCTGTTCCAGTATAGTTACAACACTGGCATCTACCCAACAATGTGGAAAACTGCCCAAGCGTATCCTGTACATAAAAAGCAGGATAAATCAACTTGGCCAATTACCGCCCCATCAGTCTCCTCTCGACCATCAGTAAAGTGATGGAAGGTTTCAGTAACAGCGCTAGCAAGCAGCACCTGCTCAGCAATAACCTGCTCAGCGACGCCCAGTTTGGGTTCTGCCAGGGCTACTCCGCTCCTGACCTCATTACAACCTTGGTTCAAACACGGACAAAAGAGCTGAATTCCAGAGGCGACGTGAGAGTGACAGCCCTTGACATCAAGGCTGCCTTCAACAAAAAGTGTGGCATCAGTAGCTCTAGCAAAACTGGAAACTATGGGAATCCGGTGGCAAACTCTCTGGTGGTTAGAGCCATACCTGACACATACAAAGATACAAAGATGCTTGTGGTTGTTGGAGGTCAGTCATCTCAGCTCCAGGACATCTCTACAGGAGTTCCTCAGGGTAGTATTTCTAGACCTAACCATCTTCAGCTGCTTCATCAATGACCTTCCTTTCATCATAAGGTCAGAAGTGGGGATGTTTGCTGATGATTGCACAATGTTCAGCATCATTCGTGGCTCCTGAGATACTGAAGCAGTCCATGTTCAAACGCAACAAGATCTGGACAATATCCAGGCTTGGGCTGATAAGTGGCAAGTAACATTTGTGCCACACAAATGCCAGGCTATGACCATCACCAATAAGAGATAATCTAACCACTGACCCTTGATATTCAAAGGTGTTACCATCATTGAATCCCCCACTATCAACATCCTGGGGGTTATCATTGATCAGAAACTCAACCAGACTCATCACATAAACAGAGTGGCTACAAAAGCAGGTCAGAGGCTAGGAATACTGTGGCAAGTAACACACCTCCTGACACCCTAAAGCCTGTCCACCATCAACAAGGCAGAAGTCAGGAGTGTGATTGTATATTCCCCACTTGCCTAGTTGAGTGCAGCCCCAACAAGACTCAAGAAGCTTTACACGATCCAAGGCACAGCAGCCTGCTTGACTGGCACGACATCCACAAGCATTCACTCCCTCCACCACCAATCATGTGTGCTATCTACAAGATGCACTGCAGAAATTCAAAGATCCTCTGACAGCACCTTCCAAACCCACAACTATTTACATCCAGAAGGACAAAAGCAACAGAGAACACCACCCCCTGCAAGAACCCCTCCAAGCCACTCACCATCCTGACTTGGAAATATGCTGTCGTTCTTTCATGCTGCTGAGTCAAAATCCTGGAATTCCCATCCTAAAGGCACTGTGGGTCAACCCACAGCAGGTGGACTGCAGCAGTTCAAGAATCCGCTCACCACCTTCTCAATGGCAACTAGAGATGGGCAAGAAACGTCCCGAGTCCCACAAATGAATAAATAATTAAAAATGCAAACTGCGTTCAATACTCCTGGTGTAGAACATACAACAGTACAGCACAGTACAGGCCCTTCGGCGCACACTGTTGTGCCGAACTTTTACCCTAAACCTAAGGTCCATCTAACCTCCACCGCTACCTTATACTATCATCCAAATGCCTATCTAATAGCCGCTTAAATGCCCCTAATGAGGCCGACTCCACTACCCTCTCCAACAATGCATTCCACGCCCCTACCACTCTCCGAGTAAGGAACCTACCTCTGACGTCTCCCCGATATCTACCTCCTTGCACTTTAAAACTATGTCCCCTCGTAAAAGCTACCTCCACCCAAGGAAAAAGTCTCTGGCTGTCCACTCTATCTATACCACTGATCATTTTGTACACCTCTATCAAGTCACCTCTCATCCTTCGTCGTTCTAAAGAGAAAAGCCCTAGCTCTCTCAACCTTTCCTCGTAAGACCTTCCCTCCATTCCAGGCAATATCCTGGTAAATCTCCTCTGCACCTTTTCTAATGCTTCCACATCTTTCCTGTAATGAGGTGACCAGAACTGGACACAATACTCTAGATGTGGCCGAACCAGGCTTTTGTATAGCTGGAGCCTAACTTCACGGCTCTTGAACTCAATCCCTCTATTATTGAAAGCTAACACACTACACGCCTTCTTAACAACTCTATCCACCTGGGTGGC